CTGATTCAGGAAAGATTTCTATGTGGCTGTCAGGGACTATAGACCAGTCATGACAAAAGGTGAGGTGGGTTGTGGCTTGACTGCAAGGGGTGTGTGCCACATGTAGTATGACCAGGCATGAGACAGGTGGCTCATTTAACCCCATCTAGGGACCTAAATAGGATCCCATCTTTTCCTTTTCTTTCTTTCTGTACCTCTTTTCAAAAATATACAAGGGAAATTGTAAAGACATGTAGTACATTTTAAATTATCATGGGTGACTCAGTGTATCAGTATATCACCTTCAGGTTACATTTTATGAACTTGGGGCCAATTTAAGATGGAAGATTCAAAAAGCCTTTAATATACTAAATGCTCTTGGTTAAATTTACAAAAACTAGATAAAAAACAAAAGTTTTATATTTTATTAAGATAATTACTTTTGTGGCTGGGCGTGGTGGTACATGCCTATAATCCCAGTACTTGGGAGGCTGAGGCAGGAGAATCACTGTAAGTTCAAGGCTGGCCTGGGCTACATTGTAAATTCAAGACCAGCCCCTGTCTCAAGAAAAAGAAATAATTACTTTTGTTTACCATTGTCAGGCTTTTGCTTACCTAAACTGAGTTTTAAGAATTAAAGGTTATTTAAATGTTGACTCATTGTGAAATGTTTTCAATAATCAGTTTATAATTAGTTAAATTAAGAATTATCTTACTTTATAATGCACACTATACAGCTGGGACTAAAGATGTATATACATCTGAAAACATGCTATGAGTCTAAGGCTTAAAGTTAGTTTACTACATAGAAAGTGCTCTCTTATACGATGTACATCTCACCTAAACCTTTAGCATATAAGTTCATCAAAATTTTTGTTTTATCTTTAAATTTAGTTCTGTCATTTACAACTTGATCTACATCTATTGACTTTGATTAAAAAAGCATTTTGTCATTCTATAAGTGAGATACACTTATATATTGGGTAATAAGTATATTTCTTAAACTTATAAGTGTTCTAAAGATGTCCTTTAAATCTTGTCAGCAAATTATACCATGTAAACCTGTTAATATAATCTAAATCTACCTTAAGAGTGAAAACTAAGTAAATATATATAAAGACTTATATAGCTGCGATGCTAATTATTGCTAATCTCATTAGTGTTTCCTAAATGTTCAGGCTTTCTAGGATGTGAAACTTAAAATAAATCTTAATGCCAATGACTTCCAGGTAAAGTTGATTTTGATGATGTACTTTTTTAGGCTTATGTTAAGGTATATGATTGCTATATAATTATGGCATGGTAGTTAGATATACCTAAACAATATAGAATCCTGGAAATGTTGCTCTAAAGATTAAAGATTGGGCATTAGTTATTTATAAAGTACATTTGTGAATAAATACATTCTACTTAACCACTTTATTTTTAAACAGTAGCAAATTCAGATGAGAATTTCTTTATGTCACATACTTTTTATAACTGAATAAAAGGAATCTATTAAGTTATTTTAAACTAAAATGAGAATTTAAATATATTTTTAGACTTTAAAAATCCTTAATGCTTCTAGTTTAATGATGTCATAATTTTCATTCTAAAATGTTGTTTGCTCTTGATTTTAAATTTTCCTTATAAAATTTTATAACTGTTATCTGATAATGTGCTACAAAAGGACAATTTAAACAGTATGTTAAGATCATAAGCCATCACCTGTAGTACAAATAGAATATAACACTGACTCCTAATACTCATGATGATCATGGTTAATGAAAGAGGTAGCTGTTCTCCAGTCATACTTTCCAAAGTATCCAATATTTGAAAAATTATAATAGTTAAGATTATAACCTGCTGTTCTCAAAACTGGTGCAACCAACATTGTGGGCCTTCAACTGAGACCTAGTGACCAATGCTAAAAATGGTAACTGAGCTAAGAGGACAGCTCATACTTTGACCTTTGCCTTTCAAGGTCAGCCAAGATCCAAGACATTGTGGGACTCCTATAAAGGGGTCCTACAATAACAGTGAGTCACTCAACCGCCCGAGCAGAGAGGTTGTTGGATCTGACACTGTGCTAAAAGAAGGATCACTGAAGGGGAAAATGTCCCCCTGCTTCCAAGGGAGGCCATATGTTCAAGCAGAAACCATGACTCATCCTGACAGATGACACCACTGGTATAAGAAAAACAGAGAGAGAGAGAAAGAGAGAGAGAGAGAGAGAGAGAGAGAGAGAGGTTAAATTAAAGGGTAGAATAGATATGAAGAAGAACTCCAAATACTGCACCAGCTCCAGCCTCTGCTGGCCATCTCCAGCTGCACCTGTTTTGATTCCCAACCCATTAGCTACTCCAAAAATGTGTCCTTCAGCCTCTCTTAGTATATATCCATTATGTTATTTTAGTGTACTTTCAAGTAATTCCAGACAAAGATTTAACTTCTTACATAGGTGTGTGTACTAAATAAAAATGGCATAAAAATTCCAGCTACTAAGTTTTGTTATGTCTGTGGTATAAGCTAACTTTCTATTACCAAGTTCAGACTTTAAATGTTTATATTATCTAAAGCTATCTGGATCCAATCACTACAAAGGTCTTCACATATACAAAATAGAGCCCAATAAAAAAATAAAATTAATGGCCCAATGGTTGCAAAAACATAGATATCTTTAGCTAGTATATTAAGTAATAAATCTATTTCTTTGCCATTATTAAAATAAGAAAAGCAAGAGACTTTTTATTAACAAAACAGGGAAGAGCCTATATGCTCAAACTCTATCTGTTACATTTAGATAAGTGCCTCAAAATAAATACAAATTAATATTAAAAATAAAAGACACGTCAAATAATATTGATGCCTACTTTTTTTTTCTTTTAAAGATACTGTTCATCAATATTCTACAGTTAATTTCTGGCCCTGGCTTGTTTAACAAAATGAAGCTTACTTGCTAATGTCTTTGTCCTCTTTTTCAGACTATCAAAAGACGGCTGTTCCTCACACAACAGAACCCATCTTCTTCTGTCTCCTTTAGACCAGTCAGGGTGAGACTTTGATCCCTCGCTAGGCAAGATCATTGCCCATCCTCAGTCTCAAGCGGTTACGAGAAGACAGACCATCAGACCTACTGTATCACCTTAAAATTAAGAGGTCAAAGTCTCAGAGGGAAAAATGGAGTACGATAGAGGAAGTGATGAACAAGCAGAAAAAAGAAAAGAAATCATAACTAAAAATTGTACATTTAGGAGGACTGCAACTCCTGGGCCTCTGTGAAAGTCACGCAAGGCCATCCAGATCAGCATTCCCTTGGCTAAGTTTAGGTTCCTTTCTGTCCAGACTCATCATACCCAAAATTCCTCAGACATACTGGAGGTCCATAAATTGGCTGATTTGAGAAACTAAGGAGTAAGAACCTGATTCCAAGCTAAAGAAACAGATTGAGAGAATACAAAACAGGTTGAAACTATCTTTTTTTTTTTTGGTCTTTTTGAGACAGGGTCTCGCTATGCAGTTCAGGCTGGCCTTGAGCTCACTTTCTAGCCCAGGCTGGTCTCAAACTTATAACAATCTTTCTGCCTCAGTCTCCCAAGTGCTGGAATTACAGGCATGCACCACCACGCCTGGCTTGAAGTTGCCTATTTTAAAAAAAGAAAAAAAAAGTTGGGCCACTACCCTTCTAGGGGTGAGCCACCTTCTCCCAGCTTCCTAACCCCTCGAGGGAAACATAAATGTTCCTCCTCCACGAAACAAACTGACTTTTTCTCTTGAGGGCCCATGCTATATTTCTTTAAGTGTGTACTAAAATTTCTGTGTAAAAAACCCTTCCTGGGCCTCTTACTGATGTGTCCTGAAAATCATTTTTCTGCAATGGGAATCAGCAAATCTTCAAGCCTGTTCTATCTACAGTGGCTTAGGTTCCTTATCTCAGCTTTGAGTACCTCCTCAGGCCTGGTCCAGTAACAGAAGGAGGGAGAAAGAGCGAGAGCAGGTGTCCAGGTGTCTTTATGAAAATTACTTTAATCAAAGTACCATTGCTTTGCTATTGGGTTTTCTATCTTCCCCTGCCTGTACATATTTCCACTGACAGAAAAGTGTGGCTTTAGAAAAGTTATGTTTTGGTACACACTGGGAATGTTATAAATCCAGATGTGCAATAGGCAAGAATGATCGTTTTCATTTCAACACCTCTCTCAAGCATCTCCCAGATATTGTCCAGGGATCCCTTACTTTTGACAGAAAAGCCCACTGGAGTACAGAAGAGTGCAGATGAGAAGAAATGTTCTCATCTCCTCTCTGTCCAATAACCTCAGGGCAGGTTCTGATCACTCCTTTCTTCCCTCCTGTGACATTAGAATGCTCGACATGCATATACAACAAGCTGGGAAATAACCGATCCCCTGGGAGGTGTCCTCTCTGCCTAGTCTCCATTTGCAGTAAAGGGAAAGAACTTGGCAAGAACTCCCATTCATTTGGATTTGATCCATGTCTCGTTTGCATATTTTGGATTTCAAGGAAAAGGAGGTGATAATTTCCATGTTTATCTCCAAAACAGATCCAATGTTACTTTTTTTTTTTTTTTTTTTTTTTTTTTTGGTAAAAACACCTAAGAGTGTTTTTTCTGAACACTCACTTTGATTTCATTTTGTTTGCTTTTGCCAAAGATTCTTGCATAACAATTTTAACACTTATTTTCCTGAAATAAAATGAAAACTTCCATTGTCTTTGTTTTGTTGCAGAAAATGTATTGCACATTAAGTAAAAAAAAAATTATCAACTAAAATGTTATGTGAAGTTAAAATGCAGTGTATAAAATGGAAGACCAAATTTAAAAAGGGAAAACAGTGTGAATTATTGGACAGCAAAAGTAGATTGGAATGTGGGTTTCTTTAAGTGGACAGTGCTGAGGATTAAGGAGTATAATACTTGCATCTCACTGAATATATTTTAAATGACTATATGTCAGTTAAATTTTTAAAATTAATGATGTACCAAATATTACATAACATGCAGCCATTTAACCATATAATATTTAGATGCCAACTTTAAAAATGTGCAAATGGGCACATACTTTCTCAACATTATTTTAGAAGGTGTGACAGTGAAAGAACCATGTAAAGACCACACATCTCCGGACAAGTCAAGTGCAAGTGTAGGGAGTGCACTGACCACCTCCCCCCGACCCGCAGCCCTTCTCCCCTTCTGGAGAGCAGAGAGAGCCAGGATGGGTTGAGAGAAGGCAAGGTACTGTCACCTTAGGTGGCGACAAAGGCCACCCAGCCTGCTGCTAAAGACCACAGTTCTGATGCCATCCCAAAGCGAAAGAGGAGGGAGCGACTTCAGGTCCTTGGCAGACAGCGGTGTGCCTGCCTCCGGTCCCCTCTGTCAGGCCAATCCAGACTTGACAAAAAGTAAAAAGCGTGGGCATGTCTTGTGCTGTGATGGTCCACACGTCACTCCGCCATTCACACTGGCTGACTTTACAGCATTTACAGCATTCACTTACAAGCAGGAGCATGCTGGTTTGTGTATTAATTGCTATTTAGATAAGTGTCTTGAGTTTATGAACAACTGCATACAATGGAGACACCAAAAAATGGGTCAATGAGGTTTTTTTGTTTTCCACTTTCCTTCCTTCTCGCCTGTGTCTCTTCCTCCTCTCTGTGGCTGGAAGGTTCTTGACTTTCCCTGCCCTCATCGGGCCACAGCTGGTTTTTGTGAATTAAAATCTTTTAAAACCCAAGCATACTTGCTCACTCAGAGGTTTGGCCTGGTCTCTAGGCGACTTCTGGCTTCAGATTATGTCTGTCCCTGACTGAGAAACCCCGCGGAGATCCTGCCATCCCCGAGTCTTTGTTAGGCAGCCAAAGCCCTCCAGGCAGCTTCCCCAGATGTCGGCACCTTGGCAACGCCCTGCTTGGAACACGATTGTAATAGCGACTAATTCCCTCGGTAGTGGCACTGCGGCGAATGGCTCATCCCTTCACAGGCAAGTCTCAACAGTCGCTAACCAGATGAGACTATTTTCCCCGAACAATAGCGGTGTGACAGCGAACAGCTAAGGCATGTCAGGGGGCAGCTGCGCGGCGGGGTGCATGGAAGGAGGGATGGATTGTCTATTTTCCGGAGTGATTACTTATTTAAATCGTTCATAGCTTCTGAAGGGAAGGGTGTTGTTTGCAACTGTGGGCAGATTTTTTTTTTTTTTTTCCTTTTGGTATATTGTAATATCCTAGAGGGAGTTTGTATTCAGATAAGAGGAGGTAGATTATTAGACGATTATGTCCCCAGTTCCAACCCCATTTTGGAGGGAAGGAGAAGTCATCATAGCCCAGAACATAGTCTGGACATAAACAGGCTCAGAGCAGCTGGTTCATCCTTTGTTTTTGATGGGCCAACACTCTATCCTGCCCTTTCCTCGTCACCTGCCTGATGGGTCACTGTCTTCCACTGCGTGGAAACATCCCTTGTGCACTCCGCTGTCCCTTGGTTGCCAATTCTGCTCCAAGTAGAGGCGGATGGTGGGAGGGTACTAAGGACAGTGTGTTTGAGGTTGGGATGTTTAGTCTTCGTGATGTCAACCTGGAAAATATAGGGCGTTACTCAAACCTCTGTCATTTACCTCATCACCTATTATGAAAACACCTCACCAACTCATGCTACATTGACTCTGGTTGTGGGTCCAGCTTATGGTACCTCTAACAGTACAAAAACGCAGCTACCATATACGGAGCAATACACAAGACCCTCTTTTCTTGCATACATTTTCTGTGAGAGTTATCGCTCCTTGAATACAATCAGTATTTGTGACAGGTCCCTGAAGTAGATGAAGGTGAATTCTCATCTACTACCAAGCAAATACAGTCTTAACTCCTGTCTGTGGAAGATTGGTTCCAGGACCACCACCCTCCGCCCCCCGACACCTATACCCAAATGCACAGAATCTGAAGCCCCATATATAAAATGGCATAGTATTGGCACATAACCTACACAATCCTCTCATATACTTCAGATCATCTCTAGATCACATACAGTCCTAATACAATATAAATTCTATGGAAGCAGTTGTTACACTGTGCTCTTTAGGGAAGGGTGGCAAGCAGAAATGTGTACTTGTTCAGTACCGATGCAATATTTTCTGAATATTTTAAATTCATGGTTGGTTGAACCTGTGGATGGGGAACCGGAGAATTGATTGTATTTTTGTTTCCATTTCTACAGATGAAGAGGCCAAGATTCAGCCAAGTGAGAGGCTTCTATGAGGTAGGAGGAAAGCTGTGAGTTTGAGGCCAGCCAGGGCTACATAGTGAGTTCACAGCCAGTCTGAACTACCTAGCGAGACCCTATCTCAAAAACATAACAAAATAAACAACAACAAAACCAAAAATTAAAAAAAACCCTCTAATCTATGCCATATCCTGATTTTATAGCTGATGAATTTGAATATCACAAAGATGGAGAAAAATGGGCAGCAGGGAAGTGCAGAAACAATTAATTATTGAGTATATATTAATGTTAGACACTAGCAGGAATCTTTACGTTTAGTTTCTTGTTAAATACAACAAACTGTGTATCACTCCCCAATCATGAATGAGAAAACTAAAACTAAGAAAGGTAAAATGACTCACCTAAGTTTACATAATAGTTATTGATGGGGCAGGACTCTAACCCAGCTCTTTTGTCTCCCAAGTCAAAGTGTTTGTATATCTAATAACCCTTAATATGCTATTATAGTATTATGAGAATTATTTTTCTCAACATACACTAGTTATGTTAATACAATACTATGGTACTAGGGAACCACCTTAGAGATTGTACCTCTTGAATCTAGAGCCCATAGGCTAAAACTTCTGTTTCACTTGAAGACTTACAGACTTTGACAATTCTGGCCCTTTCGAAGTCTCATAGAATACATTTAAGAAACATTGGTTCTGGGAGGGGATCCCAGAGGTCTTGCAATTATACTAATTGCCCAGAGGATGTAACGTCAGCCTGTTGCAGTGCTGAACTTGCATGTTGAAGTCACAGTTCCATCGTAATCTTGGGCAAGTCTCCTAAAAGTTCTGTGATGTTGGTTTCCCATTCATAAAATGGGAAGAATAATAACTGCTTCCTTAACTACCTCATAAGATTATTGTGAGGATCAAGTGAGATAATAAATGCAAAGTCTTTGGCAAACTGCTAAGTGCCTTTCCCATAGACCATGCTGTTGCTATTACTGCATTTTCCATCTAGTACCTACTTATTACACTCGGCTCTTCTCTCCCATTCTTAAGAGCATGACCTAGCTGGGTGTGGTGGTGCGTGCGTATAATCCCACACTCCGAGGAGGCTGAGGTAGGAAGGTTGCAAGTTTGAGTCCAACCTGGACAATTGAGTGACATAGCAAGACTCTGTCTCAAAATAAAAAATAAAAATGGCTAGGGATGTAGTTCAGTCTCAAGGGCCTGGGTAAATCCCCAGTACAAACAAACAAACAAAGAAACAAAAACCCACAACAACAAAATATAAATTTTATTGAAGACGATATTGTAAAAGCTGTTTAGGCACCTACTGAGATGACTGATTTTTAAAGTACAATGAATATTTGTCTGGGCAGAATAAGCTTTAGGATAAGAATTTAAGGTGAGAATGTAAAAGAAACAGCAAGAGAAACCAAAGTTACACAGGGTACAGGGCCCTGATCCGGCTTCTTATTTTACTCCTTGTATCAAGTCTGTATGAGTTTAGATGTACAAACTAAGGGAAGGATACAGAAAGGTCACGGTTTATGGAGAGCCAGGGGTTGACTCTGAGCTTCCTCAGTGTAGTTAAAATTACCCAGCACAGGGCCTGGGTCACGGAAAATATTCAATAAGTGGAAAATTTTAAATATTGCAGCCATATATTTATTGGTGATACTTGAGACCACCCTCCCACTGTATTGGATGAACCTGTCTAGCATCAGATCTTTGGAAAGCACCCAGACAAGGGAAATTTATACATCCTTTCTTCTCAGCATACAGCATGATAGAAAGACTTTCTGGTAGGGAGTCAGATTCCATTAAGTCAGTTGTTATTGAATTTTCCTTTATTTGGGATAATAGTGGGAACAAAGTTTCTCAGTGACAATCATTCTTCAACATTTTAGAGCAGCCAGAAAATACAGTGGTCACTAGGAGGCAGCATGGGTTAATGAAAAACCAAATTTCTTTGTGGGAGGGGTGGAGAGGGCTGGTTTATCAGCCTTGTAGATTAGAGAAAGTTCATAAATCACACTGTAAAGAGTCTTTTGTTTTGTTTTGTTTTGTTTTTCCAGTACCAGGAATCGAACTTATGACCTTGCGCTTGCCAGGCAGATGCTGTGCCAGTGAGCTAAATCCCCAGCCCCTGTAAACAGCATCTTGACTTTCACAATATTTAGAGCCATATGATGACAAAGGGATCTAGATAGGCAGGAAGCTTCAAATCCTGGTTAAGACGTATACTACACCCAAGAAAATGCTGATCCAGTGACATAATCTTTCTCCCTGTCCTGTCCAACAATTTTATTAATGCCTTTGTCAAAGGTTGATGATGTGCCCATCAAATTTAAAGCTGACATAAAGCTGGTAGGGACAGAAACCATGTTGTGTGATAGAATAAACTAGCACTTAGTGTATTTCCTGGCATATAAAAGGTGCTTAACAAACATCCAATGTGTTTGGATTATTGTTTCCTAATTGAGGAGAACCAGTGAGTAGAAGTTAGACATATTTTAGCTCCAGCTGAAGGCAAAGTCAGCCCTGTTAAAGACTGGAAAGAGGCAAATCATAAAACAATTCTTCCTTTCTTGAAGGTGTAAAAGCAGAAAATACATGGTGCTCCAGCATGGAATCTTTGTGTAGTGGCTACCACTGGGGCTCTGCTCAAGTTTTTCTGTGTCTCCTTTACCATTTCCCAAGTGTCACTCCCAGCTGCTGTGTTCTTTTGCTTCTAATGGCCAATGGTATCTCTGTGGGAACACGGCTCCTCTATCCTAAATTCAGATAAAATCTGAAATATAATTTGTCTTTCCAGAGGGTTCTGTGCCTTCAGGCTGAGGCTGTGTTATGGTTTGTGTCTGAATGTCCCCCCAAATCCTCATGCAGTCATGGTTTCAGGCTTCCAGAATTTATGATTATTTCCACAGTCCAATGCTGGGATTATGGGTGTGAGTGTTATACCTGACCTGGGGCTAGTAGCTTGCATACAACATAAAGGAGGGAAAGAGGTTTGCTCCCCACCCCCACTGCCTCTCCTCCCTTTTTTTTCTTGCTGCTTTTGTGGTTTTCCACTGCCATGAACTATTGCCCTGTGCCATGTACCACTCTGCCTTGGAGCCAGCCAACTCTGGACTGAAACCTCCACAAACTGTGAGTTAAATAAACCTTTCCTTCTTTAATTCTGGGCATCTGGTATTTTGTCTTAGCAACAAGAGAAAAGTAACCAAGACAGGCTGTTACTGGTCTCACTCTGGCTTTTCTTCCCAGCTCCTCTTATTCTCCTAATGGACACATCAGGAGAAACCAGTAGGATACAAAACCTTGGATACAAATCCTCATCTATGGTTCTGTTTCTAAAGTCCACCTAAGACACGGGGTAGACAATGGAATTGATCTAATCAGTACTGCCAGAGGGTAATTTCAGATCAAATAGTATGGAGATAGACTGATTTAGAAAATTTACTTTAACTACCTTTCAAAAACCTACATTTGATGCACGATCCTGTCTCTAAATCCAAATTTCACTGTCACAGCCTGGAGGCGCTGAGCTCCCCCAGGCTGGAGCTTCGGAGCTGGGTTGGTCCGTGAACAAGGGAAAGAAGCTAACATAAGATAGACCAAGAAAATGGCAACGAAGGAACTGACCTCCAAGAAGAAAAAAGCAGTTGTTCAAATTATAGGATCTAAACAAACAACAAACTCCTCCACTTATCTCCAAGGGAATTGGAGAGTAGCACCAAGAATCAGGGAGTTTAGACGGGGTCCTAGGTACTCGTTGGTTTCTATTACTCCAGGTAAAATCCTTTCCATGCTGGCTAGATATAGAAGTAGGGAGTAGGATAATCTTGTGACTTGAGGGATGTAGAGGCACCTAGTTTTTCACAGAAGTATACCCATGCTGGGCTTTTAGCAGTAGAAATTTAAATCTTTTCATGTCAGTGTGCAGAGATTTCTAATAGGCTCTGCTCTGTTTGGTGTTGAATACAGGGGAAAAGAAATATAATTAGAACTACTATGTGCCAGGTACATTACTAGGCACTTTTCATATATTATCTTTCATCTTTATAACAGCTCTTGAAGATAATGTTATTAACGTCATTTTTCAAATATGAAGATTGAGGCTCAAGAGAGGTTAAATAGGGTGCTGTAGGTCACTGATTAGGGCAGAATTCCTGCACATCAAACAATAGCTAATTGAACACTGCCATCTGTAGTCAGTGCCAAGGGAGCGGCACAAATCATAATTGCTACAGGGGTGTAAACACAGGAGGCAGAGGTGCCAAACCGGCTTTGTAATAAATGAAAAAGTATAAATCATCCTCATGTGTTGCCCCCCTGCAGCCAACTTCTTGGGAAATA